CCCCCCCCCCCCCCCGCCCCCCCCGGCCGGGAATCGTGCACCCGTCCTCTCCTTGTGCAGATCCCGGTCATGGTCCTGTGGGAAGGGATCTCGACGGGTTCGACGGAGATGATCTCAACGGCTCTCCACCGCGGGATCTGGGCCCAGACGGTCGTCTTCCTGGTTACCCTGATTGCCTGCTGGAGCGCCTCCCCCGGCACGCGACCCGACTGGGCGTTCGAGAATTCCACGGGGCAGGCCGTGGGGCTAGTGCTTATCTTGTCCTGGGTGGCGTTCTGCGCGCTGGCGATCTGGACCGTTCGCGGCGGCCTGAGCATCGTCATCCTCCTCCATCTCGGCATTACACCGCTCGGGGTGGAGGTGTTTGAGAGCGTGCTGCTGTTCACGAGCTCCTCCTCGACGTTCATCACGTACGTCCTGGCGGTCCTGAACCTGGTCATCGTCGCCCCCGCGCTGGTGTTGGTACCCGTGTACTTTCGGTTTCTGCGAGATGAGGAGAGGAGAAGACGTGCCCCTTTGTGAGCCTGGACGGCAAAAGGAGAAGGCTGTTTTTTTTTTCAAGTGAAGAATTGGGATGTTAGAGCGCAAGCCCTGTCCAGGTTCTGAAGCCGTTAAGGCCCAACTCACCCCTATCCCGCGAAAGCTGTTCATGAGCATTGCATCGGCATGCTCGTTCCGCACGCACCTGTTGGCGGAACGTGCTCCTCGCGCGTTTGGTTGTTCTTGGTTCCGGTGCAAAATCGTTCAAGAGGACGACGTGCTCGAAACGCTGCGTGCAGTCAACTGTGCACCTAAGGCACCAGTCTTGCGCTTCACGCCCCATCTGAACGCCCTCAGGTGTACGTCTGGCTAGGTGTCTTGGGGATGGTGCGAACTGGTGTTTCCTTGGTTGTTGTTGTGATGTTGGTGTTGGTGTTGCTGATGGTGATGCTGCTGCTGTTTTCTTCACACAATGAGTGGGAACCTCTTTCCTGTACCTCCTGAGCCGCTCCTTCTACACAGGCTTAAGAAATCAGGAAACCGGGAGACCCAGCAAATAGTTCCCCCCCACTCGACATTGATAGAAATTACGTGTGCATATGTAAGCTGTTTTCAGTTTCTTTCATTTTACCTGGGGCGTTGTGTTAAATATTGTGAATGGCACGATTTAACGACAAAGCCGAACGCCGCGCATAGAAGCACGCTGAAGCGATACGTCCGCTCCAAGCCCGCCCCTCCGACGGCGGGAGCACCCTGGAAGAAACTGCCATTGACGCTTGGTTGATGCGCACACTCTTGAGTTTCATTTGGTCGCAGTTAATGGTCTACAGTTAGTCCTAGCTGCAGGACTTAAATTGCCGGAAGCTTCAATGTCAATGTGTTCTGACCAACGCCCAGTTTGACACCTAGCCCCAACAAGCGTCGGGTGCGGCGGGCACGGAATGCAGTTTCCACGAAAGAAGGCTCCGAGCAACGAACGATCTTGGTGGACGAAACCACTTCGTTTTGTGCCCTCCTCACTGTACAGCACGAATGGGATGCCCATTGCACTATGCAGCCATGGCACATATCCGAGAGTGGGTCTGCGCAAACCAACAACGTCATTCACTCGTGGAAACGCTAGTACGCTACCACCGTAGGTTGCGTAAGAAAGCTCACCCCCTAACCGCTTCTCGAAGCTCGATTATTCAGCGGCGAAAACAGCGACAGTGACGAATACGGCGGCGTGCGAACCATCGCGTCGAGAGCTAGCTAGCTAGGCAAATATTCATCATTCTACGGTGGCATCCTGTTCGTCGCGGGGTTAGGCACAGTGACCACCTCCGCCCCATCCCTCTATGTTTAATCCACCCTTCAAACCGTAGCCGTTCCAACGACTAACGCGCATCAAGAGGTACTCACGTGCCTTAACATCATCATGGAAATACGACCCCTGGTGCATTCACTGTCCGTGACCACGGCAAGCCAACTTATGTCCAACGGGAAACCTCGAGTTGGTGCAATGTTGGGTTAGGGTTTTACGTTCCAATTTCGTCTATGAATGATATGCGCGATCCGTTGAAGAGCAACCTGATAATTACTTCTACCAATGATCAGTTGTCATTGAACGCGTCGAACCAGAGGGAGGGATACTACCAGATTTCAGTGCCTTGCCACTCTCCTCCTACCCGGCTGACAAAACGTGTACACTACCACCCCCAAAAAGCGTTGTAGACTGGCGGCAGACTGACAAGGCGCACATCCATGCGTATTGGTTACACACATTGCCGAAAAATTACCGTCGGCACGACCCGTGTAGGTATGCGCAATAGTTGGTACCTGTACACCAGGTATCAATCAATTTCTTCCGGACGAGGACAGTCAGCAATATCCCTCTCGATCAGGTGTGCGCACGTCGTAGTGCCCTCAACACGGGAAAAAACGGGCCAAGAGACAAAACAATGACGACACATCATACATCGGTCGGTGTAGAGGAAATGTATTGGCACGGTGATCTCCCCGTGCAACAAATAGAAGTCCTCACTAAGTGGGGAACATCAAACAGTCACCAGCCACAGGTTGTACTTATAGGCCCTACCTTGATATGTAGATTGCCGTGTGCCCACGGCTGTTTCCCAATTGATTTTTTCTTTACTTCCGTGGTTTGTTTCTGTTATGATAGGTTGCTCCAAGTAGTTATTGTTTTTTCGCGATACTGTACTGCTGTAGCGCTGACTGAAACTCAAATTTGCGTTTGGGGACAAAATGCCGCAAACCGGTGTGGGAAAGCTCTCCTCCTGCAAGAGCGCGTCGTCGCGATGTGCTCAAACAAGTACGTCCTCATAAATGAAAGGATTGCCATGGCGAGAAGCTACAATATGGATGGCTGCGGCAGTCCTAGCGCATACAAGAACCAGACCTACCCTGCCCTGCCGAGGACGCCAAGTTAAGTGTGACGAGATCTCATAGTCGAGTAGGTCCGACCACCAACAGACAGATCTGGATACAGCGGCTGGCTCCGTTTCAGCCCGATTCCCTTTTTTCAGTTTCCTGCTATATATTCTCAATCGCTCGCTATCGCTCACTCCCAGGCCAACAATGCACAAGAGGGAACGCACATGTTTGTATATGTACTTCTACGTACGGCTTGCTGCGGCTAAACAACAAAAAGTGCGCTGCTTGTATCAACACGGAATATTACAGACAAGGTGTATTCCGCAAAGACATACCCCCCGATCGCACCTTACGCTAAAGGCTTAAATATGCAGACGAACACACGAACCCCATACGGTACGTTAAGTCCGTTCCTCCGCGCCAGGAGGCGTCTACGGCTCCTAGATGACACAAACAACATAACACAATACAACAAGAACAACCAACGAGATTCTTACAAAGAGACATTGAATGTTATTTAATAACGTCCCGTGTACAACAACGGACACAAGAGCCGACAAAGAAAACAACACCGATGTCACGTGTACAACAACAACCACCACTAAGAGCTCTGACAGAGAAAAGGAGACCGATGATCGATGTCTCGTGTACAAAACTAGACAAAAGCGTCGCAGAAAAAAGAAGATAGTTCGTTGACGGCTACAGCAACCAGACAGCAACCAACTTCTTCGTGGCGACGACGGAACGATAGGCGTGAGAGAGGGTGGACAGACAACTCGGGGGGGGGATGCATGCCTACGCCAGCCTCGACAAAACACAAACACAACAACATGAACAGATGATCTAACCACCCACCCAGTATGCTGCGGTTCTTCTTTCTCCCAGTAACGGTGACCAATAACCAAGCAACCAAGCTACGTTCAATCATATCCGGATAGAAATCAACCTTTCACTGCCACCCTCTCTTTTTCATCCGAGGGGGGACGAACACGCTCGACACAGTGACAAGACTTGCTCTCCCCAAAAGATAGAACGTCTGTTACCATATCCCCACAAATGACGACAACTCACAGGCACAGGCAGGCGGGTTTTTCGGTGCTGACCCGTGATGGATGGAAGGATGGATGTGTTACTACTGTGGCCTGTGATGATGTCTTTCAAACCCCCAGGGGTCTTCTGCCTCCGCTTAAAAGACTCCATTCACATCCCATTCGACTGTGGGTATATCTCGAACGGGTAGTCTTTCTATGTGCATTTCTTTTTCCCGATGTGCGCTGCTAACTAGGTATCGGCCTGAGAACGGACCTACATCTAATTCATTTGCACCTGCCCAACCCACTCGGCTACCTCATATAGTCTTAACCACTAGCCTCTTCGTCCATCTTCTACGGTCCCCGCACTCCTCCCTTCTCCGCCGATCATATATTTTCTGCAACGCAAAATTTCTCTCAGCCAACCGATCCCGCTCAAGACAGAAGACAGACAAGGTCATGCCACCAAGGCACGTGTAGGTCACCGTCCTGTGTGTGGATTCTTCCCCCAAGCACACACGTACACACACAGACAGCCGGCTGGCGCGCGGTCGACGCAAATCAAAAACAGACACACAAAGACACACCGCACTAAGACTGACGACTTTTCATTGGTCAGCCGGTTAGCGAGGTCGATGCTAATAATAAAAACACACACCCGGTGTGATCTCGCCATCGGAAAGCCTACATACGGTGAGGGAAAACCTTCTATGCTTATCGACAAAAGCTCCTAACTAAGCGAAACAGAGGTATGTACTCCACCCCTTTTGACTAAACAGAGGAGGGACTTGCGATACCGAACAAAGCCGCAGAAAATACACCAACCTTCTCTTCCGCCGGCGAAATTGCAAATCGAGTATAAAAAATAGATACGCCAGTCGAATTTGGCATGAAAACCATCGGCAGCTTCTTTGCTTCCCCTGCCCCCCCCTGCGCTCCCCGAAGAGCTTTTTCTTGTTAAACACCTACAAACGACGGAATGAATACCCATGACTCAGAGTCAACCCAACACCCATCGCTCCTACCCAATCCTAACAAGAACGAACTAAGTTGGAACGAAAAACTGAGCCCACCCACCTCCTTTCTCACACCACCTGCTACTCTTGGGCACACTTTCTTCATCGCCCTGCCCGCGAAAGGGCACGAGCTGGCTAATGTTCGACATTAATCATTGATCCTCGAAAGGACCCCTGGTCTTGAGCTTTGATCATATTCCGCCGAATAGGCAATATGCATGACGGACATGTTCAGATACCGCCACTGTATGTACTTGTAGCAAAGCACTAAAAATAAAACATCGACGACCTATGATGCAACCACGTTCGGAATTAACCTCTCCTGTCCCCGCCCTCAGGCAGGTGAGCGCCGTCAATGAAACCACCGTTCATTTTTAATATTACGATGTTTGCCACCCGTGGCGCGTGGGGACCACTTTTGGGGCCGTTGGAGAAAAAAAAGAAAACACACACCCCTCCAACTGCCGGTAGTACGTAACCGCCGCGTGCTCTGAATAGACAGTTTTTTCACCGCCTATACGGGACTGTTGATAGTGTAGCTGGCCACGACAAAGTTTGTGGTGTGCACATAGCAAGGGAGACGTTTTCGAAGAGAGTTTGCTGTGCGTCCCACGCACGACCGAAATTCAGTACATGCCGCCCCCATCGCAGACAGCGGTTTGCACTGATCAAAACACACGACATCCCTGCATACATGCATGGCTCCCCCCCCCCCCCCCCCCCCCCCCCCCCCCCCCCCCCCCCCCCCCCCCCCCCCCC